TCTGGGTGCAATTCACCCAGCATTTTCCAGGAACCAGCCAGCAGCCAAAATGAATGAGGCAGAGTGACTGCCTGCAGGGGCTCCACAATGAGGGGCACTGAGGGGCTAGCAGAAGGCTGTGTGTGCCCCAGAGTGAGGGAGAGGGACACATGCTGAGGGTCAACCGGGGGGCTTGAAATTGAACGTGGAGCATGGGTGGAAAGACCCTCACCAGGTGGAGGGTGGGTGCCACATGTGCTTTGTTTTCCTCTGGCTGGCTCCTCACTCTTATCTGCTGCCCAGTTAAGGCTGTCACCTGTTCACCTCTGCCTTTCCCCTTGCCCCAGCTCCACTCTCAGGAGGCCCTGTGGTGGGAGGGAAGGTGAGGCAAGGCATCTCTGCCCAGCACTCTACTGCCACATACCTGAGCACCCCACAGTACCTCCCACAAGCACAGCTGTCAGCTGCCCTGGGTGACTCGGGTAGCCCGTGTGTACATTCAGTGGTGATCCTCTGCTCTCCTCCCAGGAAAGTCTGCAGGACATTGGGACCATTTGCCTGGGGACCCGGGCTCCAAACCTTCAGTAAATACATCTTAACCACTTGGAAAGAACCCTGCCTAACAGTGGGCTCAGTAAGGGGCTCAACAGGGGGCTCAGTAGGGGCTGGTTGCTGCTGCTGCTGCTGCTCCAACACCTGACCTGGCCACACCTCTTTCCCCCTTCTGGGCCTCAGAAACAATGGTGTGGGCCTGGATGTAATGGACATAACTTGACTTGTCCATGCTCTGGAGGGAGCTCAATGTCAGTCTGCCTTCTTGGATTCAGCCTGGCTATTCCATGAGTGTCAACTGACAACCCAGGAGTTGCCAGAACACTCTTGCTACAGATGTCACCTTGCTTTGGCCAACAGGGCCATGAAGGAAGCAAGAGGAGCGGGGCATGGAGCAGAAGACAGAGGGGCCAGAGCCATGTGGATGCTTCAGGCCCTACTGTACAAGCAGTTCCGAATCTGCTCCATTACTTCCAGTGCCTTGTCCTGTTGGACCACCTTCATGGTTAGAAAGTTGTTCCTTATCTAACCAAAGGCTAGTGACTGCCTCCCTGTAAGCTCTGGCAGTTGTTCTGAACAGAGGCAAGGCAACAGGAAAAAAATTATTTCTAAGTCACAGATACTGAAAAGAAGCCCAGAAAAGCCAGCAACTCCAAGGCCAGGAAACCAAAACTGATTCCTCCCCCAGAGAGAAGTATAAGTGACCCAGGCGATCTCAACACCAAGGTGGGGGGAATGAAATAGAGGCAGCTTCCTGCATGGGCCCCAGGGGCAGCTCGAGTGTTGTCTTTCTCATCTGGGGACTTTTGTAGGTTACCAAGAAGGGATGTGGCTGCTTCCCACAGCCCAGAACTGGGGTCAGGGCAGCCACTCTGTGAGGCCCAGGGACAGGGAAGAAACTGAGGCTCTGGGCAACTTGTTGAGGATACTGGGGACTGGTGTCCTGGACTTCACACACAGCCTTGGGCTCCAGAACCAATGCTCTCCCCCTTCGCCCCTACACTCATTCCACGGGGACAGTGGGAGAGGGCTCAGGAGGAGACAGGGAACATGTTCTGATGCTCTCCACAGCAGCCCTGAGGGACAGGCAGGGGAGACTGATGAGGGCCTGGGGCCATCTCTCCACCCAGCCAGCCTCCATCCCACCTTAGCACTTCTGCAGAATGCTGCATTTGCAGCTCCACACTCCTGGACCAGCTCCTGGGATCTTTTGCAGAGGTGCTACCTGCTGGGATCTGCTGTCTCATTCCCAGTCTCCACTGACACTTGACTGAGGCCAGCCCCACCCTGCAACTGTGTTCTGGGTGATGAAATTTTTCACCCTGTCAGTCAGTGCTCCGAAAAACTGCCGCTTTCATTGTTTCTTCAAAGGATCAACATTTTCTAGAAAGTAATGGAAAGGTACTGAGTTCAGCCAGCACAGACTGCTGGTGGTGGGTAATAATTCCTCTTGATGTGGGCCACCCATCCCCTCATTCCTTTCCAGACTGGTGAGGTAGGTGTTGGTGCCTTTGCTTTGCATGTGAAGGAAGCAAGGCACACAGAAGCAACAGTAATGCTAGACGTGAACCAAGAACTCAGGCTTTCAAACCCCCTCATTTTTTATAACTACCTAGGGCAAGCTGGCAGCCTGTCCTCTGGGGCTGCTCAGCTGGGCCAAGTACTGGCTGCCTCAGTCCGAGCACCTCTCAGGCCAGGAGGGCTGCACTGTGATCCCAGCCCCAGGAGTGTGGCTTTGACTTGGCCCTAGATTTCAGTTGCTGCTATTGCTATATTCATATCCTTGCAAAATTTCTGTTGCATTTTACATCTGCAGATTCTTAGTGTTTGCTGTGTTGTTGTAAGGTAGATTGCTACTTTTTTAGCAATGAAATACTCATTGTTCCTCTCAGATACTCATTGTCCCTGAGTTTTATTTCCAGTGGAAAGTGTCAACAGATAGGGTATGTGGGGTCATAAAAGCTTGAGAACCCCCAAAGTCATATGCTAGAGAACTGCAGCCCTATATAACTGCCCATTCCAGTGTTTTCCTCCCTTAGTAATGTAGTCCTTCCCAGTAGAGTTTTCCCATCAGGCAAGGAATGGGCGGTAGAAGCCAAGGAGTCATTTTCATGACTCTTGATAGGTACCTGCAGGTTTGTCCTTTAGAAATCATAAGCTGGCTGGGCTCTGTGGCTCAGCCTACAATTCCAGCACTTTGGGAGGCCGAGACAAGTGGACTGCCTGAGCCTTAGGGTTCAAGACCAGCCCGGGAAACTTGGTGAGACCTCATCTCTATAATAAAAATAAAAATAAAAATAAATTAACTGGGCATGGTAGCGCACACCTGTAGTTCTGTCTACTTGGAAGTCTGAGGCAGAGGGATCACTGGAGCCCAGCAGTTCAATGCTGGAGTGGCTGTGAACATGCCACTACACTCCAGCCTGGGCAATGGAGTAAGACTCCAACTCAAAAAAAAGAAAAGAAATCATAAGCTGATTTAATGTCATTATTTCTTTTTCCTAATTTGAAGAATGTCATGTTAGATAGTTTTTTATTTGCACCTCTCATCATCAGTTTCATCCATCTTTCCAATGTGGCTTTGCTCCTTGCAAGCCTTCCTGAGAACTGAGACTTCTGGACTCAGTGTGGCCAGAATTCACTGTTTCAGTGACAAACTCCCCTTCGTTTTTCAACTCTGCCTCCACACAGGCTTGTGCTCAGTGTGTGTCAGAGCAGCCTTGTCTTGCTGTGGGAACATGGGATGTGGGTGATACCACATACCCTCCTTGAGGGATGACACATGGGAGTGTGGTTGTGACAGGTATTCATGGCCTTGGAGCTGGGTAGTACACATCAGCTGCTGAACCATCTGGAGGGGAAACATCTTAGGGGCAGATAGACTTGGATTCAGGTCCTAACTTTTCTCTGTAGTAGCTGGGCGCTAAGGATGTAACTTGACCTCTCTGAACCTACATTTTCTCTCTCCTTCAGAGAGGGTAGAATAGTTGCTGTCTACCAACCTCCACTGTGAGACTCAGAGCTACAGTTGATGAAGCGAGTGGCCCAGACCCTGGCCAAGCCTGTGTGGCCCCCAGATACTGGGTCATTTTGGCGCTGCAGTTGGGCCGGCTTGTTGGGAAGCCTTTCTGTTCCCAGTCTGGATGCTGGCCCAAGACCTCTGTGGCCAGTGAGGACAAGATGTACAGCAGAAATCTTCCACAGCTCCCCATGGCTTGGCCCCACACAGCTGGCTGGCCTGACCCTGCCATGGGCTCAGAGCACACTCAGGACAGTGTTGCAGCTGTGTCCACCCCCACACACCTTGCCCACCATGGGAAAAAATGTGTTCTCTCACAATATGCATGCTTTTTAGAAAATATTATATCTCAGGTTACAGGTTTTCTTCATCTAACAAAAAGTTTTTGCTAATTGTTTCTGAAACAAGGCATTTCGGAAACCCCCTTGCAGTTACAGACTCCGGGACTCACAGGCTGGTGTCAGCCTCTTGGTTGTCCTGTGCCCAATGTTAAAGTAGCAGGACCCCAGACCAGCTGCCCCCAATTCCATCTGCCATAGTGCACTCCTTACAGTGCCTCACAGTCCCACGCACCTGGACACAGACTGGGTTGGCCGGAAAGGGCCACCAAGGCACCAGGGCAGTTGCATGAAAGGTGAGAGGTGAGAAGGAGGGTGGGTGTGGGGAGAGACAGCACCATCTGCCCCCCGTCACAGAGGCCCCAGCAGCTTGGTGGGAAGAGGATGGCTAACGGGGCAGCCTGGCCATGACTTCTCCTCTTAGAACCTCAATTTTCTTGTCTGTCTCCTGTGGATGGTACATTTCCCACCCTGACAAGGCCGTTAAGAGCCCTCAGCTGTGCCTTGCACACAGAAGACATCCATCTGTGAGTGTGGCCCTGCTCCTGCAAAGTAGATGGGCAAAGGCAGGATGGAAGCTTTGACCATGGCATGGGGTCTTTTGGCAGACTTTGGAGGCTGACATTGGGCTGGGCCTCCAAGAGGTGGATGGGGTAAGACCTCTGAGGAGGTGGGAGAAAGTGTGAAGAGGTTCCAGGCAGTGGGGATACTGTGGGAAAAGCTTCACACATGAGTAATCCACCTTTTGCTGGGACGGGCAGTTTGGTGTGGCTGAGGGATGGGAATAGAGCAGAAAGCAAAGTGAGGTTGGCTGGGGGGTGGGGTGTCAGCTGTAGCCTGCTGTGCTGGGAAAGGAGCCCAGTCTCCATTCTAGGGAGTCTCTATGCCCACAGAGCAATCTCCACTCAGTGCAGCCCACCCATTTCTACACATCCCAGCTTAAAGAGCTGATGCCCTGCATGTGGGTGGGTGCTTGCAGTCTTGCCCCCTCCAAAGCCCAGTCCAGGCCCTACCATTCACACTGACTCCCCCTTACGTGCCCTCCTAGACCACACAGGCACACTGCCCTGTCAGTGGGTAATAGCCACAGCAACTCTTATTTACCTCCATAGATGACTCTGGGGATGACGACGAGACTGCCTCCCCAGCCGACAAGGACGAGCTACACCACACCCTGAAGAATCTCTCCTTGAAGCTAGATGACCTCAGCACGTGCAATGACCTCATCGCCAAGCACGGCGCCGCGCTCCAGCGCTCCCTGACAGAGCTGGACGGCCTGAAAATCCCACCCGAGAGCGGGGAGAAGCTGAAGGTAGTAAACGAGCGGGCCACCCTCTTCCGCATCACGTCGAATGCTATGATCAACGTGAGTACCCACACCCACTGCTGGCCCCGATGGGGCTCCCTGGTACCAGCACCATGGTCTCCAAGTAGTGACCAAGGGTCCTTGACAGGTCAGGGTCTGTTTCCTGTGGCTCCAAGTCATTTCCCAAAGCCAACACCCTCCTGTACTCTCCGGCGTTCTCTGTCATCTCCTCCCGTTGTTGGGAAAGGATGTTCTTCTTAATCATCTGATGTAAACCGGAGTTGGTTGTGGGATCTGGTGGGGGCCTGCAGGTGGCTTGTGCCTGGGTGAGGAAGCCCAGCCAGGTGGGCCAGCCCTCCCTACACAGTATGGACACAGCTACCACACTGGCCCTCAGTGGTTGCTGCAGCTCCTCCCTAGGCTCACCCCCTACCCCAGATGCCACAGGAGCAGGACCACATATGCATCGGGGAAGGGGCAGATATGTGGTTGGGGTCTGAAGTTGGGGTCTCCCTTAGCCAGAAGAGCCATAGAGCTGAGCCTGGCAAGGTCATGTCAACCTGATGGGAGACAAAATGGTAACTGCAGCTATCAAGTAAAAGGCCCAGCCTCAGGAGTCAGCCATTCTCCCCTAGTTCTGGAAGCCATGTTGCTGTGACTGGGAACTGACAGGGTCTGTCAACGGTGAAGACCCTGTTTCTGGGCCCTTCTCTTTCTGCCCAGTGAGTGTTCCCCAAAATGTGTGCATTCCTCCAGGCCTCCACCTCCAGATAGGTCTGACTGCCATAGCCTTCTCCCAAGGACAGCCTCACAGAGGGGCACATCCAAGCCTGGGGTGGCATGCTGGGATCCAGGGGTCCCGAGCAGAGGAAATGTGCAAAATAGGTGGAGGTCATGATAGAGGCAGAAGTCAAGGTTTAGACAATGTGACTCAGGAGGGCCATCATGCTGAAGACAATGGGCAGTACTGGTACCTGGATGAGCTCCAGCTGGGGGGCCCAGCCTCCAAGCTAAGGGGTCAGACCAGAGCCAGACTGGGAGTCAGGACCAGACTCTGGGAACATGAAACCCAAGGGCAGGTTGGGAGGATGGAGGCTGGAGCCCACCACAGGCCAACATCCCCAGGCTAAACCCTGAGCATCCAAGAACTGCTCCAAGCCTACTTTACCAACCTGTTGGCAACACAGTTGTAGGGCAGGAGGACCAACCCACACCTACACCTGCCCAGACATACTCAGGCCTGGAGCGCTCACATGTAGCCTTGGGAACCCCCCACTGGGGCCTGAGGCTAAGTGACGCACACCCTCTTTCCAGACTGCTGGGAGTCTCAGCCACAGGTACTCACCTACCTGAGGTCAGCAGGTGTATGTACCTTTGTCCTTCCCCAGATCCCACAGTGCTCAAGGGGGCGGTTGGCCCCATAGCTGAGGATGCTGAGAGACAACTGGACTGTGGCTCTGCAATGACCCTGCATGTTGGCCCTGTCATTGTCTGCCTTCTCAGGTGCATTGTCCTCCTTACAACCCAGGTCCCTGTACTTCAGCCAGTGAAACACACAAATGTGAAACACTTCATGACATAATGATGTGTTCACGTTTCCCTGTCCATCCCAGAAACCACCGCCCACGACTTCCCTGGCACTGCCTCCCCACCCGAGACCAAAGCTGTTTTGTCTTGAGTAAGCAGTTTTAACTTTTCCAAGATAATGAGCTTCTTGCTGGCTGCAGTCTTACACCATCTTTTATCAGGCATCAGAGGCTCATCTGTGTTTATGAAGCCATAAAACCAGCTCGCTCTCTAAGTGTACAATGAATTGTTTTACAGGAAGCACAGCCCCTGAGGTTGGTCACAGTGCCTGTCTCCAGTTCTCCCAGAGTCAGTTGTGAGTGACAGAGCTGTGCCCTGGCTGGGTTCTGCCAGCCCTGCTGGTGTGAGCCTGGCATGAGGGCCTCTCCCCAAGCTCCTGCTTTTGCTTTTGCCAGCAGTATAGTGTCTAGAAAACTCTTCCCCATCCTTCAGGGAATCAGGGGAAGGGACAGCAGGAGTGAGGAACTGCCCTGACAGGTTGTGCTCATAGCCCAGGCTAGCCCAGAGGCCCGAGTTTCCCTGGAATGCTTCCTGGCAGCCACTCCTCATCCGGCCCTAACCCTAACCCTAACTGAGTCAGTTCTGGGAAGGCTGTTTGCACAGCTGTCAGGCACCAAGTGTCTAAACCCCTCTGTGTGCAGAGGAGCCACATAGGCAAAACCAGCCACTTCCTGAAAGTCACGGGACACACATGTCCCCATCCCTGGCCAGGCCTTGGCTTCTGTGTCTGTTAGGAGATAAGGGTTGGACCCTGGATCTGTAACTAGGACAACCCTGCTGCTTCACCTTCAAGTCTCCAGGGAGCCTGTTCATGCACAGGACCACTTGTCACTCCCAACAACCTCTTTAATACCATTAGAACTTGTTAGTGCCAAAGTGGAAACTGAAGCTCAGGAAAGTCACCTGAGCTGTTCAGTGTCACCCAGCTGGTAATTTTCCAAGCCAAGATGCAAATCCATGTCTGTGTGGCCCACTGGAGGAGCGATGGCCCCTATCTTCTCCAAGGATGAGACCCCCAAGGGCTGTAGAGGCCTCCTCCTGCTGTGATGACATTCTGAAGTTAGGACACAGAGAGGGTAGCTTCACATCCACTTGGGGTGGGATCCCAACCTTGGGGACCTTTCTGAGTCTCTGGTATGTCTTTTCCCTTTAAGCTGCAAGGTAGCCTCTGGTCACCATGGTTGCTTCTCCACCAAGGCCCCCTGGGTAGCTGGGAACTCAGAGATAGAAGCCACCCCCAGTGGTCCCCAGAAGGTACAAATCATTACTCACAATCCCTCCAAATCTCACTGTGGTAGAAAGCTGTTTCTTCCCACGCAGGGGTCCCCCTGCAACTCCACCGTCCTGCTCCCCACCCCTGCCCTGACTGCAATGCGAGCTGGATGCTCACAGCCGCACCCACTCCTGAGCTTGGGGAATCTCTGTTCCCACTGGCCCCTTGGACAGGATAGCCCCTGCTCTTGGGAAAGTGCTGCATTTCCCACCTAGTAGGCTCTGATTGAGATCAGTCAATCAAAGTGGAGCAAAAAAAGAGGAACAGTTGGCCAGACAGACCCCACGAAGGGTGCCCTTCAGAGGGCCCTGGGCAGGCAAGCACTCTTCCTGCACGGGCAGAGACCAGCCACCTCTTTGTCTCTTTTCCTCAAGATGGCAAAGAATCTTGGATTGTTGCTTCAGGAGGAAAGTCAGGGGGACAGTCTTCAAGCCTTTTTCAAGTTTGAGAAAGGTGCCAGTCGCAGTGGCTTACACCTGTAATCACAGCTCTTTGGGAGGCCAAGGCAGGAAGGCAGGAGAATTGCTTGAGCTCAGGAGTTCAAGGCCAGCCTAGGCAACAAAGCAAGACCTCTTCTCTACAAAAATAAAAATAAATTAGCCAAGTGTGGTAGCATATGCCTGTAATTCTAGCTGCATGGAAGGCTGAAGCAGAAGGATCACCTGAGTCCAGGAGGTTGAGGCTGCAGTGAGCCATGATCATGCCACTGCACTTAAGCCTGAGCAACAGAATGAGACCCTGACTCAAAACAAACAAACAAACAAACAAAAGTTTGGGAAAAGGGCATTAACCTCATAAGCCTTTAAGTCCCAAGCTCCCAGTGGGACCAGGAGGGGAGTCCTCTGGACAATTCCCAAGAGCCTATTCCAGGTGCCCGCTGCCCCCCTGAGGGGTGACACAGCCATCCTCGCCTCACACCAAGTGTGGTCCTTCCTTTGGTGTTTGAGGAAACAAGATGCCAGGAGGAGGTTTCTGGATTGGGCATACTGAATGATGATGCAGTGTTTCACCCCTCCATACCTTTTCCAGTGCTGTAGCTTCTAGAAGGCTCTTCCCCCACACTTCAGATCCCTTTTCATCCTTCAGATCTCTACATGGGTGTCACTATGGCCAGGAGGCTTTCTGAACCCTCTCTCAAGCAGTCCTTCCTCCTGGCTAGAACACCCAGCTGCCAGGGACACTGCTGTGCTTGTGTCCACAACAGGAGCCCAGTGGGAGTGCCCAGTGAGTGACATTTCGAAGCAGGTCTTATGTCTCCACAAAAAACACTCCAAATGACCCCCAGCTTGTATTTACCTGTGATGTTACCTTTTGTAAAGCACTTCCAATCCCATGCCCTCACCCAAACAAGGTCAGTGAGAAAACAGAGGCTCCGCACCCTGCCCTTGGCCTACAGAGGTCACCCCCTGCATCCCTCATCCTGCACCCTGCACCACTCACATTCCCCTTCCAGAGAGATGACCTGGTCCAGACAGCACTTTGTGTATTAAATTGTACTGTGACTGCATTTCCCTTGTACACACCATGCTGGGCTCCAGCCTTCCACCCTCCTGCTTCTTGTGGCATCTTGCTTGGCAGGTTTCTTTCCAACAGGACTCAGAGGCTGACCTTGGAAGGAGCTCTCTTGGGGCAGCATCTGAGCAGGTTGGTGACCTGCAGAGAACTCAGGACAATCTTCTCTCTTATCACAATTAGGAAAGTCCTACCTGATAGGCGTTTAACCCAAACCTTAGCAGCTATCTCCTGAGCCCCACCCAGGCTGTGCCAGGCAGGGACTCGCAGGGAGCAGGCAGTGCAGTGGACTCTTACAGTGATGGGCAATCATGCAGGTGTTCATCGATGTGACCTGTTCTAGAAAGGTCTACCCAGAGCCACCAGCTCACATGTCCACTTTTGAAAGCCAAGTTTCAGGAGGGTCTAGGAAAGTTCCCAGTTGGCCAGGGAGGTGGTTCAGGCCCAGCTGACTACAGCCCAGCAGGAGAGCCAGGGCAGGCCTTGGCTAGGCCTATAGAGAGCAGAGGGAACAGCCACAGAGCAGAACCTGGAAGGGGGAGGGCCTTCTCCGAGGCAGAGGAGAAAATATGAATTGTGACCATTTCTGGGCCATCATTCAGCCATTCTGACTAAAGCTTATCCGTTAGTTGTCCCACACACCCTCCCAGATACTCTTCCTGAGCCTCTGTGGACAGTTCTCCAATCA